AGTAATGCATTCCATAGGGTTTTCAAGGCTATGAACTTCCAGAAGGCAGATCTTTCTTTCAAGGTACCTTTGGGTTTGAACTGTCAGCTTTTCTATGTAGTTGAACACTTAACTGTTTGTGTCACCCATGGAAGTATGTTGTTGTTATGTGCCATCGAGTCAGACCCGACTCATAGCAACCCCTCCTTGGGTTTCCAAGGCAGTATCAACTACGGAAGTAGATTGCCCCATCTTCCTTCCAAGGAGAGGCGCATTAATTGAAACTTCACTTTCGTTAAGTCCCATTCTCCTAGTACTTAACTTTCTACCATCGTCTTCCAGATAATTTGTTTGTGCAGTTTGCCTCTAACAGTGCACATGGTGCTTGTGTTCAGCTAATGATGCCTAAAACAACCAATCTCTTCAAATGCTCAAAATGAAACAAAATACTTTTGATAAAGTCATTTACTCATAGAATGTAGAATGCCCTTGTGGTTAAAAGATTTGCTTGTTGGAGAGAGACCTAAAACAGAACGCAGGTCACTTTACTTAGCAGCTACTGCTTTTCTTGTTTTGCCATGCCTCCAGTTTGTTTGAATACACTGCAAAAAAGACAAGGAGGCCACATGTTCTGACCTCCTCTAACCCCACAAGAGAAAGACAGAATCACCATCAATAGCCCAAGGCCTATTACTGCAAGGCCAGACATGCTGCCTCCTTCCAGCCCTTCCTCCCAAAGCACCCACCACCTCTCTCCTGGGATCGATAATTCACTGCAGTGGCCACATAGAACTCACAGATTATAGGGTTTATTAGGGAAGCACCAGGCTACAATTCAAGTTCAGGAAAAACAGTTTCTCTCCCAACCCACCATCTCTCATAGTCTCTATCCCAGCAGTGCATGTCCCTCGGTGTCTCTCTTAGCAATGCACGTGTCTTGCATTTCTTTCCCAGCAGTACATGTCTCTTAGGGGCATGTCCTTCCTCAGCCAGCAGAGAGAGTTCTGTCTCTAGGAGGGCTCCTTTTGAGCCCCGCAGAGTGGCCAAACTAGCCAATCATAGCATCAGAACTCTAAGCACCTGAGAGAGAGCAGGAACCTCCCAGAACATTGTTAAGTGCCACGCCCAACAGAAATACCCCAGGTGGACAACTTTAGCAATCAGGAGCTCCTCAGTTGCTCATGGCAAATTCCACCTGAGTTTACTAAGACTTATGGGTAGAAAAGCCACACTAAGTACTACACCACACAGTGAAATTGTTTTAGAATGAGTTGCTGGAAATAATCTTGCTCTAAAAAAACTAGAAATGTTCCTCTATTTGTAGTGATTTAGCAAATAAAAAAAGAATACTTTGAATCCATTAGAGGGAATAGGAAATGAACAGAACACCCATCACCCTTCACTTTTTGCTAATGAATTTAATGTTCTTGTTTTATTGGTAGGGAGTCCTTGAGTGGTGCAAATCATTAGGCACGTGGCTGCTAACTGAGATGCTGGCAGTTTGAGTCTATACAAAGGCATTTCAGTAGAGAAGCATGGCACTCTACTTCCGAAAAATCAGCCATTGTAAACCCCATGGAGCTCAGTTCTAATGTGATACACATGGAGTTTCCCTAACTTGGAATTGACTCAGTGGCAACTGATTGGTTAAATTCTCTTTATGTGATTGTCATGGTTAAGACAGGAAGAAGTATAGAATATTTATTCAGTACAGGAGTAAAAATAGCTTAGAGGTTTGTTTTTAATTTCCTAGGTTTTATTATGCATGTAGCCTTTTCAGGTTTTTATAAAGAGTGACTGTACTTGTGCCGAGGCTTGTTCTGGTGCCCAGTTCAAATCATTGTTGGTTGTCTGTGCTCTCTATGTTGTTACATTCGAGAATATCTGAAGTACTTGGTAAATCTGTTTATTAATAAATCAGGAAGTATTTTCTGAAAACTTCCTGTATTTTAGCTAGATGCTGTAACTACAGCAAACAACATGAGTTTTGTTTGAAAATAAAAATTTAACATGTAACTAGGATTCAGTAAAAGTAAATTTTGCAGTGTTGCTTTTGTTATTAGTAAATGATAGTTATTTTTTCTTTTCCGAAAGATTGATAAATAAAATTTGCTCCCTTTTTTATGAAGCAATTCAGTGATTTTTTTTTCATGCATTATTAATGCCGTATGTATTCAGCTAGAAGTAATTCTCTTCACCCTCCCTCCCACAACGAAACAGCTTTGGGAGACGCTTTTTGCTATTAAGTTTCTGTGAAGTAAGACCAGGAAGCTTTAAAAATATTTGACCAAGATGGTTTAGGAGTCTGGTTATGTCTCAATTTGTTCTCTCTTGATTGGATAACATCTTGGATTGTCAAAGAAGTGATGTAATAATTATTTTCTTTTACTTCACAAACAGTGATTCATCTATAGGGTATTCTTAGACTAACACATGGATCTTTCCCCTAATATAATATAGACAACTCTCAGTTAGGAGGAGTTTTCCTGCTCAGAAACAATTCTCCTTGCCTAGGACTTCTATTGGGAAATGTTAGACTTCTGTCATTTTCTTGGACTTGCTACCTCTTTTACTTTTTCTGAAATTTTCAATTTTTAAAATGTGTAAAATTTGAAACAATTTCAAACTTACAGAAAAGTTGTAAGTACAGAACAAATACCTTTTGTATTCTGAAGTATTTGAAGAGTAAGTTGTCAACACAGTGCTCCATCTTCTTCAGATACAACAAGGACATTCTTTTACATAACCACAACCTGTCCATTAAAATCAGAAAATGGCATTGGTGTATTACTAACATCTAATCCTCATAAGACAAGTCTGAATACTAGTCAACTGGCAGAAAAGAAAATATGAGTACTGCATTCTGCATAAAAAGTCTTGGTAATTCACACTTGAGAGTCTAAATACATAATATCAGAACAATATATATACTTAAAATCAACTGAATTACAAATTAAGAAGCAAGCAAGGATGTTCATGATATTGGTGCTGCCATCCATTTGTTTGCCTTGGAGTGCCAGTATGTGTCTGCACTCACTTTGATACTGTATATGTGAGCTCTTTGGATGACTGGTCACCTGACCAATGGATTTTTTCTTTTTTCTACCATTTGCCATTGAGTTAATGCCAACTCATGGTGACCCCACATATATCCTAGCAGTACTTTGCTCCACAGGGTTTTCAACAGCTAGCTTTTCTAAAGTAGATTGCTAGGCCTCCTGAGGTGCCTCTGGGTGGACTAGAACTACCAGACTTGGTTAGCAGCTGAGCATGTTCATTGTTTGCAGAGTTGGATAGAGCCAAAGTGAATTTGCAGCTGACCCTGAAACTTTTCTTAGAGTCAGCAGCCATCTTGATGATCTCCTTCTTGATGTAGCTTCTGAGAGATCAGTTGTTAAATACCAGTGTAGGTATTTCAGTGCATTAGGGGGGATTCTTTAGTGCATGCGGCTCACATCTGCTGACTCCACCATACAGATGGTCTCAGCTGAATGAATATCTAGCCTAATAGCTCTGAAGCTAAAGAGTGAAAGAACTCACTCACTATGATCAAATAGACCTACTTTTATCTTTCACTTTATTTCCAACTAAATAGTTCTAAATGAAGTTCTTCATATGATTTCTCTCTGATATATTAGAAGAATCATCGTCCAGATTATATGAAGAAGAATGTGATGTCAGGATTGGAGGAAAACTCATTTACAATTTATGATATGTAGACAACACAACCTTGCTTGCTGCAAGCAAAGAGGACTTGAAGCAGTTACTGATGAAGATCAAAGACTACAGCCTTCAGTATGGATTATAGCTTAGCATAAAGAAAATAAAATTCTTCGCAATTGGACCAATAAGCAACATCATGATAAATGGAGAAAAGATTGAAGTTGCCCATGAAAGCAGCAGTCAAGAAATCAAACAGCATATTATATTGGACAAATCTGCTACAGAAGACCTCTTGAAGGTGTTAAAAAGCAAAGCTATCACTTTGAGGACTAAGGTGTATCTGACCCAAGACATGGTATTTTCACTTGCCTTCTGTGTATGCAAAGAGCTCTTATGGTACAGTGGTTAAAGCATATGGCTGCTAATCAAAAGATTAGCATTTTGAACCCACTGGTGGTTCTGTGGTAGAAAAATGAAGCAGTCTGTTTCCATAAAGTTGTATACCATTGGAAACCCTATGGGCAGGTATTCTCTGTTCTACAGGGTCACTATGAGTAGCAATCAACTTGATGGCAGTGAGGTTTTGTTTTTTCATTTCCTATGGATGTGGAAGCTGGACAGTGGATAAGGAAGACCAAAGAAGAATTGATGCCTTTGAATTATAGTCTTGGCGAAGAATATTACCTGGATTGCCAGAAGAATGAACAAGTCTGTCTTGGAAGAAGTATAGCTAGAATGCTCCTTGGAAATGAAGATGGCAAGACTTTGTCTCATGTCCTTTGGATGTGTCATTAGGAGGGAACAGTCTCTGGAGAAGGACATCATGCTCAGTGAAGTAGAGGGTCAGTGAAAAAGAGGAAAACCCTCAATGAGACGGATCAACACAGTAACAGTAACAGTGGGCTCAGGCATAGCAACGATTGTGAGGATGACACAGGCTTGGGCAGTGCTTTGTTCTGTTGTACCTAGGATTGCTATGAGTCAGAACCAACTTGATGGCACCTTAGGAGCTCTGGTAACATAGTGCCTAAGGCACTTGACTGCTAACCAGAAGGCTGGTGGTTCAAACTCACCAGCCACTCCT